AATGAATTAATTTTTCTAAATATTAATAATAGTATTTTTTTTGCCTACAAATTTATATTTTAAGACATTAATTTTATTTTAAGTTTGACAAGTATTATTCTATAAGTTTATAATTAATTTATATAAAAATATATATTTATAAATGATAAATTTAGAATGATATAACACCTGACCTTCAGGCCTAGTGTCAACTACCACGATGAAAGGTGCATTTCTCACCTCTTGGGTGGGTTTGACCCACCCCATGATCAATTATTCAAAAAAAAAAAAAGATATATGATATAGTCCGATATATAGTATATACTGTATCAGTAACAAAATTGATACATATACTGGTACATTATTGGCAACCTTAATTATGACCCATAAAATGAGGAGACAGGGTTGAGGGTGAACATTTTGGTAGCAAGATCTCTTAGATTTTTTGGTGAATTGTGATGTGAAGTCAAAGGAGTGTTTGTTAGAAGCTTAGTGGGTGGGCAGCTACTTAGCTGATGATCCATAGTGTTGAAATTGCTTCCTAGAGGACCAAGGGCCATGAGAACTTGGAGATGTGGGTGGTGATAACATGGAAAATATAGGTGTATTATTATGGGTTATTAATTCTAAGATGACAACTAATAAATATTAATTGCTCATAACTCTTAAAAAATAAAAATAAAAATAAAAAATAAAAAACAAGCTAAAGGTTTTGATATCTAGTATTTAAAGATGCAAAATTTAACATGAATGACCGCATAGTGCAGTGGATTAGCATGTTTGACTTCGGATTAAAAGGTCATGGATTTGACTCCCATTGTGGTTAGTTACTTAAAAATAGAAAAAAAAATTATCATGTGACGTTTTTTAGAGAAGATCTTGAAAAGGGCTAGAATAGCATGAAACTCTTCGCTTCTAAAATTTAGATTTTGAAAATGCAAAACCAGTCATAAATGACTACATAGTGCAGTGGACTCGCGCGTTTAACTTTGGATCAAAAAGTTGTAACTTCATATTAACAATTGTATATTCATGTGAATCATGTCAGTAGTAGGAGCCACCTATGACTATAGACCAACGAATGCCGAACGAATATCGCATTTGTATGAACTAATGAGTTTCTTTTTCAAAATAATGTGATTAACTAGTTTGAAGTAAATGAAAGTGCAATTCCATTTAGATTTCACATTTGGAAGAACAATTGTGGAGACAAAAATTGTTGCTTTAAAAGTGACATGTAAACTAATATTCAGAGAAATATTTGATTTCAAATAAAACAGCTCCTAGAAAGTGCTAGCTCCTCTACCGGAGTTAGGAAAAAATTTTAGGGGGTAAAATGGATTATTAATAAAGAAATGTATTAAAATTGTACAAAATAAATACAAATTTTAAAATAATAAAAATAAAAATAAAAATAAAAATTACTGGATTATATTAATGATTTTTTAAAAATTTAGGGGGCTTAAGACAAATAAGGAACCCTAGCTCCACCGATGGCTATCTGCTACACAATGTCATCTCCTGGGATGACGAGTACCTATTGAAAACAAGTGGAAGATTCTTATATCTAATCTTTAAGAACGCCTATTTAGCCTGAAAAGAGGGAGGAGGAAAACATCCCCTATTTCGATTAAAAATTGGAGGAGAGGGAAAAGGGGCTCTGTTCTCTTCTAATTGAACAGATTACAAAAGTACATTTCTGATTTATCTAATCATAAATGACCACAAGGTGCAGTAGAGTAACACGTTCAACTCTAGATCAAAAGGTCATAGGTTTAACTCTCACTGCTTTCGATCATTGAACCTTTTTTTTTTTTTTGAAAGTAACAATTATGTTAATAATATTAGCATTTATTCTTAATGGTAAAAGGAATGTTAAACCTGAGACTCGAAACTTGATGTCACCAGCAGTGCCATCACTTTGCTTCTCTTCTCAAAGCATGACCACTCAAGTCAGATGGGCGATTAACAATCATTGAACAGATTTATGTCAACGCCATAGGCCATAGCATGATAACACATTCCTTGAATCACATCATAAGCCACCAAAATCACACTCATCGTTCTGGAATAGAACTGGTAAATTTCTTCTTCAAAATAATGTGCTTAACTAGTTTCAAGTAAATGGAAGTGCAATATTACTTGGAATACAAGCTCCCAAAAACAACATTGGAGACAAAAATGTTGCTCACGAAGCAAGATATAAACTAATACTCAGAGAAACAATTGACTTTCAAACAAAACAACTCCAGGAAAGTGCAAGCCCAACTACACTTTGATGGCATATTTCCTCAGTGGAAAGTACATCTCCCTCTTCTTCTCCCGCTCTGTCTTCAAAGATGCCTGTGAAAACAAGGAAAGGAAGTTAATTTACAGCAATACCACGCAAGGTGCCAAAATTTACCTCAGCAAGTGTCTAATGGAAATAAAAAGATAAAATCAAAGCATTTGATCAGCAAAGCAATCAAGTTTACTAAAAGGATTCTCAAGCTCCCAGAGGTGACACTAGAACATAGATACAATTATCAATTATTAACTTGGAAAAAGTGTAATAAGTAAAACAGGTTGCGATTCCATTTTGTCAGGAAAAAAAATTTAACCAAAAACTCCCAACTATATCAAAGTTCTCAAATGTTCCCGAGAATGGCCAAAATTCATACTCACTCCACAGGTTAGGAAAATATCAAAATGGAGCCAACCAAAGGTTAAAGCGATTACCCAAAACTGGTGCACTATAGTATAAACCTCTAATCTAAACATGTTCTTCCTGGCTTTCCCCACCGCCGGTACTCTCATACCATGAGTCCCTAACTTCCTACGACCATATAAAAATCTCCAGCCCGAGAGGCATAGTATGCATCAGAGTTGAAATACACCCTAATTGTACTCAAATATACCATTTGTATATACAGCAATTTCAACATTCAAGATTGCCTTCAAAAGTTCTCACATGTACTACAAAGTCATATTCTTCTGTTAAAGTTCTTACACAGAAGTACCAAATTCTAAATCTCTTAAGTTAGATTAGATAGTGATAAACAAGCTAAAAATTTATGATTCTCACATCATTGCATAAATTACAATTCAACAATAAATTAGGCTTAGAAAGAAATGGAATTATGACCTGGTGCTTAGTGAGACGCCTACGAATAGCACGAGTTTTCTTGGGACGAAGATCCAGAGGCATGTACTTCTTGTTCTTATAAGCTTCCCTCAGCACCGCCTTCTGCTTCTGCGAAATCACCGTCAACACCTGCGCAATCGACAACCGCACCACCTTTCTGCACATAACACAAAACAAACACAAACTTAAGTGCCTACAGATCCATTCCACAATCACACAATGTCGGAGACAGAGGGTAAATCGACTAACGTACATCTTGGAGAGCTTGTTGGGGGCACCACCAGTGACCTTGGCAACGCGGAGGAGGGCGAGCTCTGCCTTCAGTTCCTTCAGTTGGTTCAATAGCTCCGCCTTGCTCTTGTTCCTTAACTCGTGAACCTTTATCCTCGCTTCAACGCCAAAAAAAAAAAAAAAAATCAATATCAAATCATCACAAAACCGCTCTCCGTTGCAATTTACGGCTCATTTCTCTTACCCATTGCAACCTCGCCGACTGCGCTTCTCTGCTCCTGAAACGGAAACCCTAAAACTCGGACAAGGTAAGCCAGACTTTAACGAGTCTCATATAATGGGCTTTCTTATTGGGCTTTATATAACATAGAAAAATCAGTAAGCCAGGCTTTAACAACATATAATGGGCCAGTAATTTTGATTTTTATTGGGCTTTAAAATCTCTAACTACACGTTTGGATCCCCGGACTATTCATGGATGGGAGAAAAATTAGTCTTGACCGGCCAATATCCTATGTTTGGGCTAACCCAATGAGATAAAACTCGGGACGGGATTTCATTTTTTGCCCGACTTAAAGTAAAATCCCTCTCTTACCCCTTGCTCAGCCTTTTATCGTGATCGACCTCGCAAGCCCTCAGTTCGCCGATCGTCGCACATCGGTGCTACTCCGCCATTGAGGTCTGCTTCGTCAATCGTTTAGGAGGTCTCGGATCTACCTTCTTTTTTCTTGTTTCTGGTTTCTTCATCAAGTACAAAACTCAGATTATTCCCCTTTTCTCACTTGCAGTGATTCCTGTGTATTTCATCTTCTCCGGCACTGAGCTATTCACCGGTAAGCCCCTAATCCTTATCTATGTTTTCTATGGATTAGATTTTGTTCTGTTCTTGATTTTGATATGTGTATTTTGCTGTAGTTTTGATTATCCTATGGGGTTTTGGCTTGATTTTCTATCCTTCTTACTTGCTTGTGTTAATCAAAGC